TTTAAATCTTTATAAGTTAGTCTTATTGGTAGAGAAGGTCCAAATCCTCCAATAAAAAGTTCAATTAAAGTCCAATTAAAGTTCAGGCATAGGACAAGGCATAAGCTCTTGACCTTGCTAAAAATGATGTACAGTATATTATGGAATAAGGCACAATGCACAAACAGGAAAAGTTTTCCACATACTATAGTTAAAAAGGTGCTGTTTTTCACCCTCTTTTTTGGGGGGGAAGGTGCGTCTTATACTCTGAAAAAAATATGGTAAGCCTAGCATATCCTTTAAAAAATAATTTTTGGAATACTTTGATATTATGAGAAAAGCCAAGATCATTGATTTGTATTAAAAAGCATGTGAATGGCTAGTATATCTTTTTTTTAAAAAAAAATGGGAATACTTTGATATTATCAGAAAAACCGAGATCATTGATTTGTATTAATAAGCATGTGAATGGCTAATCACACTATGATGTTTCACAGAATGAGAAAAACAACAACTTGCATAAGAACATATTTCTTCTTGAAGTCTATGATCTTAAAATGATTTAGCATATATAAAAAATCAACAATGTGAGATTCAGAATATATGGGATCTTTGGGGCCTAAGTTATTAACTCAAACCTAGTAACAGAGTTTCCATAGTTAGGACGTTCTCACTTTTCCACCTTAAGAAAAACGGTCTTAAAGGTAGAATACAAATATTCAATCACACAAGGACAAAAAAGGTCAAGGCATTTTTCCAATACTGTGTTATGCAAAATTCCCTTGGGCTAAAAATTATACTTAGAAAGTTAAATACCTTTGAAAAATTGCACAGCTATAAAACTGACAACAAAAATACTATTAACCTAACCTAATTTGTTAATTTTACTCACCTTCTACCCCAAATTGCACTAAATGAAGCTTGACAAGTTAGCTATTTCAGGGTTTTTGTGTCTGTGTGCAATTTTAATAGAGCAACAGTGTATGCAGCAAAAATTTGTGTATCACATATATCGATTTCAGTGCCATGGCCATTTCAGGTAAATTGTTTGAACAATATGACTATGATGAATATCTGAAATAAAAAAGCTAACGGGAAAAAAAGTGCTGACCTACAGTATCCAATTCCATTTCATAGCTAGAAAGTAGCATATGAATCAACCTCAGTCCATTCTTTTCAAAAGCACAAATCGATAGAGAATATTTTTTTACTCTTTAAAACAAATCAAACATGTTTATTTGTTTTGCTGTTGTTGCTATTGTTACATGGAATAAACATTTTAAACTAATAAACACTTGCCTAAGAATTTATTTTATATGCACCTAACCTAGTATTTCCTAAATAATTTTGCATAGTCGCAACAAAACGAAAGTTATTTTGAAGAGGCACTGCCAATATTATAGAATTCTGGTTTATTAAATGATGCATGGAAAAGGCTATGTTAACCTTTCTTGTCATTTTTTCTGAATGTTCTATATATGTTTTTTTCATTTATACATGGTTTCTAAAATCCATTGATCTTTTTAATTCCTTATCCTTTCTTGCTTCTGATTAAATCATTTGGTCATTCTTTCTGAACACCCAAATACGTAGAGGTCAGACTTAAGCAGTCACAGAGAGACTTTAATAAGAATAGCATTTCATTTATGTCAAGTTTTTTTTTCCTCCTGGAATCGCTAAAGAAATTGCACTACCTACAAAGATAATAAACCTGTTAGAGTTTACAGTATTTCTTTTCTTGAGGAAAGAACTTGGGAGATGAAAACTAGTTTGAGGTTAAAAACAGGATGAAATAAGCTTGTAAAGGAAAGCTAAAAGATAATCATAAATGATTATATACTGCATTTTCCCTATGAGGACAAGTTTGTTTCCCCAAATAATTTTGGTAAATTGAGGAGACATCCATCTTACATTCATTGAAAATAATAATATGAAAAAAAGAAGAACATATGGTAGTGCCTTTAAAGGTTAGCTAGTTCTGGGAGAGGAAATTTACCTTTAACCTTTTTTGAAATTCCTATATAGAGCTTCACTTTTTTAATTATCTCTTCCCTGCCTCATCTCTATTCATTTTTGTTCTTCCCTTTTGCTTTCCTGTCCCTAGACAGCTTCTCTTTCTTTATATCTTATACCCATCTTCACTTTTATTTATTTTTCTTTTCTGCTGGAAATAGGAAGAAAGGTTTGCATTACAACTTTATATATTTTATAGTATAAGAATTGTGTGTGTTTGTGTGTGTGCATAACAGAGATATTGGGTGGTCTACAGATAAGAATCAGTTCATTTTCTCTATGTTATTGGAAATTTAGTTTTAATTAATAGTTATGAACATTGACCATAGGTAACTCTTTATGTCCAGACCCTGGACATTTTTTTGAAGGGGATGTGTATTTGACCAGGATGGTATCAGGTCCAACGTCTGTTTATATATTTATACTACGCACCCAACTACACACATGTACATAACGATGCATTGTGCACAGATTTATGAGAAGAGGGAAATGCCAGTATCATGAAACTGCCGACCAAAGAATATTATCCCAGGATATAATTTTTTGTAGGCTATAAAGTCCTAAAAGCTATGGAACAATTTCCTTCTTTAGAATTTCTTTTAATCATCTACTCTAGAAATTTTCCAAAGGAGGATTTGTATTAATTTTATAATTATTTCTTAAAGAGAATGAATAAAGCACTGGAATTAAGGGCTCTTTTAGGCATAAATGTTTGACTAGGTTTTTCTGACGTAAATTCACATATTGAGACTCTCTTAAAATACTATTATTTTTGAAGAGAATACCCAAAATGGATTATATTAATATGTAGTTGCAAACTTTTCTCCAGAGAAATAGAGAAAGGAGAAAGGCATGGACTGTCTGATGAAGGCATACTTTTGGTACAGTTGGGAAGATTTAATAATCTATTATTTACTTGTGGAAATTAAGGTCTAAAATAGCAATCGTAACCAGACATTTAGACTATAGCAAAAATGCATATTTTGGATACAAAGAATTATTCATTTTTGGGGTCTATAAATGATTTTAGGATATGTTATTTTAGTTCTGCACCTCTTCATAAATAATCTTTATTTTTGGAAACAGTTTTAGGTTATTTTCAAACATTTTCAGTTTTAGCCCAGTGCGGAAATCTATCAAGATCCTTCTGAATCTCAAATATATTTTCTAAAGTATTAGCTATTCCGGCCAACTTGGTGTCTGCAAATTTGATGAGTCCTCTTTCTATCCACTCATCTAAATCATTTATGAAGATGTTGAAGAGTACTTGGCCTAAGTCAGAACCTTGTAGTAACCCATTGCATGGTTTCTTCCAAATTCCATTTTGGGCTACTAATTGAGTGCTGTTGGTCAGCTAGTTACAAATCAGTCTGATGGTGATATTGTCTGTTCTACATCGTCCTATCTTACCAAGAAGTAGGCTACAGTCTGCTTTGCCAAATGCCTTACCAAATTTAAGTAAGCTCTATTCACAGCATTTCCCTTATCCCCCAATTTAGTCACTTTGTCAAAGTGACTAAATAAAATTTGTCTGGCATGATCTGTATTTGAAAAACTGATGCTGGCTTCTAGTAACTGTTTTCTTCTGGAGGGATTTCCATTTTAAGCATTATAGGGGACAAAAATTAATTGTAAGCAAAAGCACACAAAATATCCCATTCCTGGCCATATTTGGCCATTTCAATTTAGTTAAAACTTTTCGCTCTTCTGTTCCTGGCACCCCTACCACCCCACTCCTTTTGCACAAAACTTTAGCTACTTAAATGTTCAATATAAAGTGCTTTTTAGAATTCATTAAATTGCCTTCCTTTCTGTGTACCATTTACTTTCCTTTAATTCAATGTGATTGCATGTAACAAGAATAATTTACTCTACATGGGGCCTCTAAGTGACATGGATACCTGTAGTCTTTCAAATCTGGCTCCTCTTTTTCTGAATTAATTATGACTGAAGTGTTTGCTTTTATAGGTTTCCAATTATGCCATTTTGTATACCATCTTTTTTATTTGTTTTGTTCTGCATTTTGCACTTTAAAAATACTCAGTCAATAAAATCCATACCCCCAAAGAAAAGAAAAGATAGATCCAGACCTCACAACAAAAGAATCATTCAGGTTTACCTGTGGTGTGTTATTTTGCAATGGCTCAAATTATTAGGATCCTTAAGTACATGGAAAGAAAGAAGCATAAATACAAATCACACCAATCGGTAACACAGACGATGTTGAATTCCTGAGCTTCTGCTCCAGGACTATTATAGCAGTTGTGTATCAGAGCATTATGGAATTTTTCCTTTTGTCCTCTCACCCTCTTTACTCAATACAAGGTGAACAAATGTAGTTTGTATAGTAGCATTTACCTTCCTCACAGTTTTCGCCTTTGTATCCTACAGAGCAAACACAGTTTCCTTCAATGCAAGAACCATGGCCTCCGCATGACGGATCAATACACTGGCTGATGGGTATGTCACACTCTGGCCCTTTCCAGCCACTGTAGCACAAACAGGCTCCTTTGGTGTATTGTCCATTGCCACTGCATAGAACAGGACACGCAGCTGGATAATTGAAAGGAAAAAAGGAAACAAAACAGTATGTCAATATCCACTTGTGTAAGGGTATGCTGACTTTACTAGCAACAAACAGACTTTTAAAGGTGTTTGAATTTTTTTTTAAAAAGCCAATACATGCTGTTCTGAATTACCATTTGAGATAATTTAGGCTTTAGGTTTCTAGAGATGCAAAATATTTTTGCTGAAGCAGCTTCATCTTGATAAAAAGAAAATATCCACTGTTGGATTTGAATCAAAATTTTATAGTGCCAGAATTATTTCAATAACTACAACCATTTTCACAGTTGCCATAATTGATCATTTGAAATCAATTACATTAACAAATCACTATATAAAACAATATATGATTGGGCCTATTGAAAATCACAGCATTATCCTTGCAGACAAATTTTCTAAGTAATTTTGATGTTACAATATTAAGTATAAATATTATTTTCAATATTAACAATACCAACACGAATAGTTCCTAAAGATTGAGTAAATTCTAAGGAAAATAATGTTAGAAGATGCAAGCACAGTGATTCATACCTTGACAAATTAGAAAACAAGCAAAGCTTCAGTTACAGACATTCTTGTCACAACCCTAAATATTGCTCAGAGAAACTTTAATGTACCTTCCATGATTTAAAAACAAGCTCAAGTCAAGTTCTTAAAAACCTTGCTTTGCCCAGGCCAGAGGTGGAATTCAGCCAGTTCTGACTGGTTCTAGTGAACTGGTAGCAGAAAGTTTGAGTAGTTTGGAGAACTGGGAAATACTACTAGTCCTGTCCAATTAGGCAAAGGACAAGCAGGATAAATAAATGTCTATAAATTGCTACTTTTGCACACAAAAGTCTAAATGTGTGTATGGGATGGGAAGATGGGCTCTACTTATTACTGGGATGCAAATTCTCATGCTCCTATCTTAAAACTAAAGGACTATGAAGGAATAAGTTCACTATTCTACAGACCACTGGAAAGTATGGTCTGACATGCAATAAATCTATTGTACGTACTCTTCAAGCTGACCCGCTGAGAATCCCTCCTCAAGTCTCTATCTACAATAAGTCAGACTAGACCAATGATGGCGAACCTTTTCGGCACCAAGTACCCAAACCAGAACTTGTGTGCATGTGTGTGCACCGGAGCTCCAAAGACCAGTGACCGGTTCCGGGGGGCGTGGCCTGTTGCCGAGGAGGGCTCCACCGAGCTCCTCAGAGATCTGGTCTGTATA